AGGGACAAATAGAGACCAAGCACGAAATGATTCTGATTGTGAATGAAACGTACTTATTTTAATTGGATTCCGAGTTACACCACAGACATACAACAAAGTGAATATAAATAAGGAAGGAGTTCAAGTAGAAAGGTTAAGTCGATCCTAAGAAGTTACCCAATTCTTATTTGGCCATTTGACCTGAAAAGTAGGAAAATCTCAATAATTGTTGAGGTAATCAATCTGCATTATTGATATGAAGAGAAGTCACTTTCTTTAGAACCAGCTTTGTCACTTGAAACTGCAACACTGTTATTATGAGCGGGTGAATATTAGGAACGTTCGCTCATATGAAAGCAAAACCTAATAATGTTGGTCAAAAATAACTCCTAAAGGAGGTGCGCTGTTTGAAAAGGAGAGTGACGTTTTACGTCCAGCTAGATTCTTGGCATTTTTTGTGTTTACACACCAAAGGCTGCTGTATTTTTGCTCTAATCGGAATATTATTCGATTAAAGTGAGACAGGAACTTTTACTGGGTGAAGTTCCGTCGTTTCTGCTACATGGTGAGCCGAAAGTCGTAGGCTTGTGGTACGGCCGGGTGCCACTTCACAGTAGCCTCTGGTATGCAGTGTAGCGAAGGTAAGAGTTGGTTCCACGATAACTGCACAAGCCTTACATCCTCAGCATATAAGAGGTACAGAAACGCAGGAAGTGACTGGCTTTGTACGCTGTGCTGCTCGGATATTCGCACTCTGGTAGAAGAGGTAAAAACACTTCTAAATACGATAACTAAGAAGCTGTCATCGAAAGTCAAAGTCAATAACTGTGACAGTGATAACGACACAGCATCTATCAACACACAGATAGCTGTGCAAAATTTTAAGGTCCCATGAAAAGCTGTAACTCGGGCGCGTAGACTACCTACTAGGTTTGCTGACAGCGACTTGGAAAAAACTACACCAAGCGGGGTGAAGCGAGTATCTTCTAGTTCTCGCATCCCCAGAGCTGGCAGACCCAGTCTGAGAACTGCTGACCGTAAGACTAGGTCTACTTCAGATGAAAGAAACAGGAGTGAAGGGCTCTCGCTGCCAACGACGGAACCATGCAGGCCGCAGGTCATACCCAGTTCGACGACCCAATCATTGACAAAAACTAAACGGAATGGGATGCAAGTCCGTTCTGAGGCTCTCAGTGCCAAGGTCACTGCACCAGCCTATAGTAAACCTTGCATACCCGACTCTGAAAAATGGCAAGTAACTAAGTCTAAACGGCATGCTAAGAAGCCAATAACGGTCACAGAACTAGCTATCATCACTCCACAGAGCGAAGACAAAGTAGAGCTCCTCAACAGGTCCGTAATCTTCCACAGATAGGAAGAAAGTAGAGACCCAGAACCACGTAAACGTTTCGAACATGACCTTGGTAAGGTACAAAGCTTGATAAACCAGCTTTTACCAGAAACATACCAGGAGTCACCCTACTCAAAATATATAGAGTAGGAAAACAGGAGTCAGTCATTACTGAAAATAAGTTTCGGCTACTTGAAGTCATGTTCACGTTAGCAGACGAGAGGGATCAGATTCTGAAGAATGCTCACAGACTTCAAGGATCCAGAGTGTTTGTTCGAAAGGATTTGGCTCTTGCTGATCGAGTCAAAAAGCAGAACTAAAATCCAGATTAGCAACTGGAGAGCAAGATCTGAATGTAGTGGGTTTTCGTGAAGTGAGGTTTCGGCAACAAATGATGCCAGATTCTATAAATAGGACGGAAACTCATTTAAGTAGTTTCGTTGTCTTGTACACAAATGCATGTAGTCTCTTAAACAGGTGGACTGAGCTTAGTAATGTGATAAGCAACGAAAGTCCTGACATCACTGCTATCTCAGAAACTTGGTTCTCTTCTTGGATCAGTGACTGTGAAACACATTTACGAGGACTCGTTCCTTATAGAAATGATAGGTTAGCACGCAAAGGTGATGGTATGATCCTCTAAATTAAGAATACCTTAACTGTAAAAGCCATAGAGACGGTTGCACATGAAAGTGGGACATGTGAAATGCTGCACTGCCAAATGAAATGCAAGAGACAAGATGTTAGCGCAATCGTAATATATCGAAGCCCTGAATGTGAGGCAGCAGACTTCCTTCGGAGTAAACTGACCCTCTGGACATTTAAATGCCGATGTCTAGCTGTAGGAGACTTCAACGCACCATCAGTTGACTGAGATAGACTAACAACAAAAGCACCACGTAATTCGTTTGACCAAAGGTTAGTAGAAACATTAATTTCCTTAGACCTCATAAAGCACATTATGACACCAACCACATATGATCATCAGCGTGCTCCATCAGTTCTAGACTCGGTATTCTTACATTCATATCATGTATGCTTCATTCGGCACCTAGCACCCCTTGGTAAAAGTGATCACGCTGTGATCATCTTGAGATTCACAGCAGACGTTTTGTACCAGATCGATGCACCAGCTAGACCCAACATGCGGAAAGCGAATATGGAGGCTACTAACCTGGCAGCCTCTCCGGAGGACTGCACAGCCAATCCAGAAGCCTCAGCTGAAGGCGCGTGGTGCTCCTTCAAGCAGTTACATGCACGAATGACCCAACCGTTCATTCTGTGGACTGTCCCAAAAGGACGGAAACACTGTCCTCCGTGGATAAACCACGAAATCCGATTCTTGCTACGACGTAAGAAAAAGTGTTCCAGTCTTGCCATACACCTCGGTACACCCGAAGTGGTGAAGCATTACAAAGAAGCTCGCAATAAATATATCGCTGCTATTCACCGGTCTCTAATATGCTTTGAAACACGTCTTGTACAGGCTGCATTGCAGCACCCGAAGGCTATTTTCCTATACGAACTATGTAAATAAGATGTATCATGGTACACCCTCCCTAACCAGTCGGACAGAAAATGACTGATTCAGGACAATGGAGAGAAAGCAGCAGCCATGGCTGCATATTTTGCTGCGGTTTTCACACAAGAGTCCTCTATGGACACTTATCCAAAAGTAGAAGCATTGACATCCAACATAATAAACTCTGTGGATGTCGATCGTAATGATGTATTTCGGACACTAAGTACTCCCGATGTAGAAAAATCAACGGGATCGGATGAACTGCACCCAAGGCCGGCCCACTGACTACTATATCCAGACTCTCTCAGTGAAGGCACACTCCCCTATGACTGGAAAGATGCCATAATAACGCCTATCCACAAGGCAGGTCCTAGACAGCTTCCATCAAACTACAGACTGACAAGTTTGACCACTACTGTAGTGAAAACCCTAGGAAGAGTAATCAAGAAAGCCATCACAGTCAACTTAGAGAGCAACATTCTATTATCTCGTTTACAGCACGGTTTTCGTAGAAATTTCTCTTGCTTGACGAACTCTCTTACAGTCAGAGAAAGTAGGGTTAAGTTTAGAGATGATAGGATACCTGTAGATGTCACTTTCACTGACTTTAGAAAGGCGCTCAACAAGACACCTCATTCCAGGTTGCTCGGGAAACTGGAACGTTTTGGAATCACTGGCAGTCTGCCCGCATGGATAAGAGACTTTCTTGTTGGTAGGAGACGAAGGGTTAGGATCAATTCCCAACTTTCCACTTGGAAGTCGGTAGAGAGTGAAGTACCGCAAGACACAGTCCTGGGACCCCTGCTGTTTCTCCCATACGTAAATGAGCTGCCAAATATCACAAAATCTATGGTTCTCTACACTGGTGAGGTAAAAATCTGGCAGGGAATTAGGAACGATGAGGATATGCGTGCACTTCGGACAGACCTGAACAGATTGTTTACTTGGTCAATGAAGTGCCTGATGCCTATCAATGTATGTGAATGTGTGAGCATGTACTTGCGGCACACTCACACACAGCAACACCTACGATATTGATTGGACTCCTTTATCGTCAGTACTGACCCACAATGGCCTAGGAGTCACAGTGAGTTATGACTTGAAAATCACGGCCCACTGTCGGTTGGTAGCAGCTCGGAGTTTTAAGACTCTCTGGGCATTACATAAAACGTTTACGAAAATAAGTGGTGACGTGTTCACCATCTTATACACATCCTTAGTTAGGTCTAGGTTGGAAAACTGTACACAGGCGGCTAACTCTTGTCTGAAAGGTGACACAGACCTTCTAAAAAGAGTTCAGAGGGCAGCCACTCGTATGATGGCTGGCCTCACCTATGAAGACCGACTTAAGAAGATGAACCTCTTCACTTTGTCCTATCGCAGACAGAGGGGAGACCTAATAACGCAATATAGGATTCTGAGAAATGGCTTCGGACCTGGTCGACCTTGTCATTTCCTTCCCACCAGGTCGGAACACCACAAAGGATATAGTAGGAGACTACAAAAGCAAGGAACGAACATAGTCTTTTCAGAGTACTGGTTCCCACGTCGAGCAATCAACGCCTGGAACCGACTCCCAAATGAAGTAGGGTCCGCATCATCATTGTTTCGATCAAAAGGGATTGGACAAGCACAGAAATCCACTGGGAAGGGATTCATATGGGCTCCCAGCCTCCTATCCTCAAACAACAAATTTGAAGAAACGAATACAGTATCAACTAACATCGTCCATTAACAGGATGTGGCTGATAGGACCAGAAAAAGAAAAAATTTTAATGGACTTGCATTAAGCTGCTATAAGTCTTCGAAATTATTGTGAATTTCTATTACATCAGCTATTTTATAATATGACCATGAATATCTTCAAAGTGAGCCAGAATTACTTAACACAATCTTGCAGTGATATTTGACACTGACTAGTATATTTGCAACTCCACTGAAACAAAACTATGAAAGTATGATGATGATATCATCATCATCATATATGGTTATATTTAATTGTTAGAATTTGTTCCCGACGTAAGGATAAAAATGCAGTATTAGCTAGTTGTGCGGAATTATTGCAGTTGCAAAGTGCGGTAACATTGTTTTGGGCCAGCACTACTCAAACTAATTCGAACTCAGCATTTAAACAGGGCTACTGCTCACCACAAATTACTTCTAGATAATCTAGGACATTGATTGAAATCCTAGAAAAACACTTGCAGCAAGAAATCCTGCTTGTTTTTCTTAAAAGTTTTTTTCTCAGAAGCACTATCGCACTGGCGTCCCACTGTTCTAACTGAGGAACTATAAGTAAGGGTGCGAAAAGTAACTCACGACACACTTCACATGCATCTTTGGAATGTAAATATTACATGCTGGTGGTCTTCATCTTGAGATAAGTCCACCTCAGGTACGCATCCTGGAACATATTTACGTCCCTGCTAGCATCAAGAACCCTTTTTCCTGCTTATTTAGTTTGCATGATAACGTTCATTTTCTTCCGATTTTTTGTTCAATATTTTAAGTATGGCAGGTTGTAATAATTAAAGGACAGACCATTTTCACATGCGATTGACATCATATATATTAGTTAACTACAAAGCATAAAATCTAGATATAAAAAATATGCTCTGAAATACCGATTTACAAAGTAGGACCCGTCGAAGCGTAGCAGCGAAAGCTTGTAGATCAATTGAAAATGCCGCTTGTGGCTTACTTGCTTAGAGATTAAAACTGATACCAGCTAAATAAAAATATTCTCTCTCTTTATGTGACTTGCCTTGACTACTACACTCAAAGGCAGACGATTAGTAGATTTTACAAAAAAATTACTCCACGGAATATATTTTATCCAATTTCTCGGATTTCGCTCTTTTTAAACCACTCGAATACCAAGAAAATCGTAAAATATACAGTAAGGCAATCCTAAATTATATTTAACCTGCTGTTAGACTATTTACCAACAAAACTTCAATAAAATATTGCAGTAGACGGCCGTTAGCCTCGGGACGCAAACCAGTATATCGTATAGCTATTACAGGAAAACCTATCTGGAACACCTAATTTTCTCGCTGGATGAATAAACTCCTACCACCAAACTTGTGTGTTTCTATCCAACCAGTGTGCTACAACATACAAATTAGATGGTGATATAAAAACTACTCGTTGTTGAGCGTTACTGCCTAATATACTGTTATTAATGACATTATTTAACCACCGTGATTTCTTAATTTGAAAAAACCTTTACATGGAGCAAGTATGTTCAGATTTCGTCACGAGAGTTCTGAAACGCACTCAGCTGTTGCTTGTAATAAAGTGACCATAGTCGTTATCATTATTATCAAACAAATTCGTGCAACGTTAACAAGCAGTATCGTGTGATATCCAATATCTTTAAGGTAAATATTGCCATCTGACAGTTTTGAACTCTTATGTCTAGGTTCCGGAATCGAGTTCCTTCTTGGTTTCACTCTTCCGCGGGATGTGGAAGTAGCTTCTGCTTTCCTACGTCTGACTATCATCGATGTTATTGTCTGTAGGTTGTTTTCTTTTATAATTCAACGGAAAATTATTCTTCGAAATCAACATTCTAGGGTTGGGTGGGATCCACTATTGATCCTGACCTCCGTAGTCTTGGCGGACTTGCTAAGCTGGGGGCACATGGTCAGGCATCCATGCCATCTGACAAGTTATGTTGCGCTGCATTGCATGCAAGCAAACTCCAGTCAGTTAGTCGGAAAAGTTCGGAATTTTGGCACAGTTTATCAAAGATGCCACTCAGTGTTGTATTTTTTCATGATTTTGTACGAGCAACTACCCTTTGGCCTCTTTGTCTATCTAGTTTGTGCAAGATCTTTTCCTGAGGTAGTTTGTGTATCGGATGGATGGGCAGAGTATGGTGCCGCTGCAAAGGTCGACGGCTTTTATACAACTTCTCTCTGCATAGCACACCAACTTTGTGAGGGTGAGCATAAATTAGGCAACAAGCACACAAAAAGAGGTAATTTTATGATATAGAAAATGGAAAAAAGACGAGATATGTGCATTGCAACAAGGGTCAAAACTCAGGGAAATCTTTCTGGCTTCGGGCGTCACAGCCTGTTGAGGATTGGTAGCGTAGCGTCGCACATCTCTACAGAATCAACGGCCCGTGGTTCGACGACATTCAACATTGATGCTGACCCACTTAGTTTAACTGGACACGCCAAGCTGAAGACACCCGGTCAATTATCCTCGCCATTTGGCGCCCTTTCGTGTTACGTTGCGCTGCTCACAATCAACCCTCTAGCCAGTTAGTTAGAACGCATCGGTATCTCGGCCCGACCTCGTGAATATACTGCTCCATCAGACCACGCTATTGTGTTCTTTCTTGGTCTCGTATTCGTGGATACATAGCAAGTCCGAATACTTAGTGATTGGCCGCCGTGTCTGCCGAGTTCGCACCATGACAATTCTTTAGTGTAATAACCCGTTTCCTGGATTCTTCACCTGGTAAACAATCGCATAGTCGGTCATCAGTCCCTCTGGTTTCCTATGGCAGCTAAGGCCGAATATATCTAAAGCTGTTGAAGTACTCAGATGAGGATTCACCTCATGACCATGTGCGAGGTTTCTGGGCCTTTCTCTGCACCTTCTGGATAAGGCGTGACTTTTGCAGGGCAGTGGAAGTGTGACTGTGTTGATGCAGTCAAGATGATGTCTGTTGGTTTCGAAGACTACAAGGTCGAGTTCGGAGTGAGGGCTCCAGGTTCCCTTTGGATGAAAACGTTGTATGACCAATGTTTTTGTTGGACTTAACGAATGATTCAGTAGTTAAAGCCTAACGTTGTGCTTTTTGGAAGTGTGCCACACAGGTTAACCGCTGCAACTCTTTTTACACTCCATACCAAGTTACCGTTTCACACAAAAGTCGAGGCATGTATCTTTTAGCAAGTAAATCCTGTTTGGATGTGGCCACATAGGTTACAGTTAGTGGTGCCGGCTTCAGGGAACTGAAGACGGATACTTCGCCTCTCCAGTGTCTCTTGCCGTCAGAAAATTTCTTCGTCAAAAGTCATCCTTAGGGTTGTTTTTGTTCAGAACCCCCTTGTGTTGCCCTCCGAATTTTGATATCGGCAGGTTACGGAATGGAGTTGGAATGAATCACAAGCAAACTGTTTATGAAAGGCGGTAGAAAGAGTGAATCATGAAGCCACTCCCCGAGATACTCAAGAGGCAGAAACCACCTTGACAGACAGTGTTCTACTGAACTCGATATTGAGTTTTCTGCCTCTCAGGTATAACCTGAACCAAGATTCCCGTAGCTCAACGAATCTCATCTTGATTTTTTTGTTGGTGGAGTATGAATGGATCCAGTAGTTGCTCCCAGGCGAACGTTCACCGGTCACAGAAATGTATTTACATTGTTGCTCATCAGCTACATCCCCTATCTAGGGGAATATCTGCCTTTAGAACGATGATCCTAATCACCAAACTCACGATACTACCTGTAATTGAATCATGTTGTCAATCAAGCATCCTAGATGCAAACTTATCTGTGGATGGATACACTGTCTACCTCACTAATCGAGACCACAAACGTGGTGGTGGCCGTCTCATATATATTTGTGACCAAATTACGGAGAATAAGGCTGGACACAATGTATTAAATGCAGTGTCTGACTCACTGGGTGTCACTTTACATGGTGACGAATGCTAAATGCTCATAGGTTGCGTGTGTCGGGCACCGTGCTCACCAGAGGAAATGGACGCACTTCTAGCAAAATCACTTGTGAATGCTTCCCCATATAATGTGGATTTTAAACTGATTGCTGGCGACTTCAGCCTTCCCGAAATTAACTGGATAGCTGGGTGTGGTCCATGGCTTGTCAGCGAGATACCTGCCGTGATAGACTTCTGTGACTGGAAGGAATATGTCCACGCACCTACTCGAGGCGAAAACATGTTGAAATTGGTACTTCTCTACGAATCCACCCCAGAAAGTAATTCTGCTAGTGGCGAATTTTCAAACAGAAATCATAGAATGGTATTCTGTTGTGCACTTATCCTAACACTAAATGAGGGTAGTAAGCAAGACTTGCAGATAATTGAGTGTTTCAGCTATAAAGATGAGGACCGAAAACCGCTCACAGAGGTTTTTCAGGAATTGCCCTGGTGTGAACTTGACAGACGCAAAGGCCAATCACTGATCATTCGAACTTGTTATATACCCTCGAATACGAGACCAAGGAAGAACACAATAGCGTGGTCTGATGGAATAGTATATTTGGGTGGTTGTGCCAAGACACCGATGCGTCCCAACTAACTGGCTAGAGAGTCGAATACGAGCAGCGCAACGTAACATGACAGTGTGCCAAATGGCGAGGATGATTGACTGGGTGTCTTCAGCTTGTCTAGTCCAGTTAAACTAAGCGGGTCAGCATCAATGTTGAATGTCGTCGAACCCTAGGCTATTGATTTTGAGGAAGTGTGTGATGCCACAGGCTCTAGGTTTCTCTCCTTGAGGGGACCACTTCGCCACTGATGTGCTAACAGCCACGGTGTAACTGTTCTGCAAGAATTTTAAGTCTTATTTGGATGCTGTCGCTCTTTTGAGTTCAGTGAGGTCGGATCGCCACTCGTAATACATTCCATCCATTTACCGCCGAAAGCTTGAGCGACTGTCGAATCCGTACTACTCTATTAAGGTTTGTACTCACCACGTAATCCATGATACCCTAGGATCAGCCAAAAGCCTACGTGCACACGAAGGTTGAAATGTGGAGTTAGAAGCCTCAAAACCAGCTCTAAAGTATGTAGTCTAACGTTGCTTCTGAATAAACGCCCCCAAACCACAGGGGATATGCGGCACTTGCTGCATAATGAAGTAGTCTACGACAAACCATTTATGATTTCTGAACCATTTAGTGGCTGATTTGGTAATTAAAGCTGTGAAAAAGCCAGTTACAGGCAGTCAGAGTTGGCTCCGTCTTATCTTAACGATTAACTTCTCTGAGTAGGTTGTCTCAGGTTTCATTCATGGCCCCTGTATTTACGAACGGCTTCCTCTCGAGCCCAAATTATCATTACCTGTTGTACGCTATCTCGACAGTCGGAGGGAGATACAGGAATGATGAGTATCTAAATCCTACAGGTGGACTTTTTTAATGTCATGAAAAGGACGGGTGAAAACTTGTTCCCCGTAGCTAGGGGAGGCACGGGATGGTGACCGTGGACAGGTGCATCAACGCGATTTCAGTTCCCTCTTCCGAGGGAAGTAAATTTCTCTCACTCAAACAACAAGAATGTCCCATGGGTCATCTGTGTAAGGTGCACCTGAAGCTTCATTCCACTGTCGCCTTGCAGTCCTTTTAGCTGCAAGATCACTGTTTCGGAGTCCTGTGGGTCAGACCTGAGATATTTCTTACTACAGTGTCATGGTTGTGTTCTCCCTCATTTACAGAAAAAATTGCCAGTTATTTGTCGGTGCTCCGAGCATGGCAGTGCCACACTAGGTGATTGGGCTACGGTAAAAAACAACCTGGGAGGTTTATGTTCCCTCAAGCCGTACGCGCCACCATACGGGGGGATCATTGAAGAAACATGTATTTAATTAGATTAAATGTAGTAGTAATGAATGGGGGAAAGTTTAATCAATTTATCCGGCTTGTAAGACTGAACTGGGGACTTGGAGTACGTGCGTGGTAATCAGTGCAATGGAGCGCAAAATG